CACCACCACGTTGTGAATCAGCCCGAAATTAATCAAGAGCTGATTCACAACGTGGGTGTGGCCTCCCCCGTTAGCCGGATTCCAAAAGTCGGGATCCGTTGCCCGGGTTGCACCACGTGGAGGTGGGGGCAGGACTTCACGAGGGTTGGCTTAATTAACCCAACAAAACCCAACTATAACGTGTATGCCTTTGACCATAGAGAGTCCCCCTTCTTTGACTAACGTATGTATTAAAACAGTAGATCAACGGTTTACCCCTACAAAGAAGGAAGGCGATGTGTAATCATACTCATTATGGGGTTATCATTATTATTATATTAAAGCGAAAATACTTATAATAAATATGTACAATATTTTAATATTTTATAATTGTACAGAAAGATTGAGTTTATTTACAGGTAGCAGTCAAAATTTGAGGAATGAATTTAAAAGTCATCGTACGATAGATTTTGTTTGCATATAAAACTTAATTGTCAACAAAACGAATGTTCAATACCTATCGTGAATTTAAAAATTTGGTTGATGAGACTCTGTGTTGATATTATTAAACAACACGCTGGGTACAGTAATATTATTTAAGATAACAGTTTAATGTATTTTTACTTATGTTAGTATAGTACAAGGTCAAAGGGACACATTCCTTTTACGATTATGTTGTTTTACTCAATGCTATTGTATACATATTTACAGTTTAGTCGTAGTTTCACCGTCTATCGAGTAAAGTGACCCGTTGCCGTTGTACATCTCTTATATTATATGTTTTGACATTTTATAATAAATACTATTATATTACGAATAATTTCTAAATCTTTTAATTACATAACCTATTCCATTCAACACTCTGGATGAGTATCGAGAGTGGTATTTATAATTTGAAAATAATAAGTTTGTTTTGTTGTAAGTTAATTATTTTTTTCATAATTTGTATATAATATTAATAATAATATGCATTAAGGTTAACATAATGAGCAATTGTTTCTAGTGTGATAGTGTCACGTTTTCATAATCGTGAGAATTATTTTAATAAAATACAGACAGCACATCCGCTTCCTGAGACTGGTGAATTAACAAATAATATTTATTGCCAAATCGGCAATAGGTGTAATTATTATAAAAACCCAATAGACCTGACCATCGTGGTCAGTCGACTCCAGTGCCTTGTGTCATTCATCAGTCTCAGTACTCGGTTGTCGCTGTCCGGCTTACTGTTTAAAGTAAAGTCTTTGTTTATTCCTTTTCTAACCTATATACTCTTTTCCTCGACATTTCAGAGTACTTGTGTCTTGCACTTCGTCTGCACCTCGTACTCTGTTATCTTTCCTCACCTGGTACGCCTAGTATTTGTGTCTTGCACTTCGTCTGCACCTTATACTCGGCTACCCCGTTCTCTCTCTGAAGTACTTGTGTCTTGCACTTCGTCTGCACCTCGTACTTCATTGTCCTCTCCTAATAACTAAAGTACTTGTGTCTTGCACTTCGTCTGCACCTCGTGCTTTGTTATACTCCTTATCTGGTACGCCCAGTATTTGTGTCTTGCACTTCGTCTGCACCTTATACTCGGCTACCCCGTTCTCTCTTTGAAGTACTTGTGTCTTGCACTTCGTCTGCACCTCGTACTTCGTTGTCCTCTCCTAATAACTAAAGTACTTGTGTCTTGCACTTTGTCTGCACCTCATACTTTGGGCTCCTTTTGCGTACACCTGGTATTTGTGTTTTGCACTTCGTCTGCACCTCATACCTAGGTGTTACTCTTATTCTCCCTTCCTATAACAACAGCCTTTCGACACCCACAGCTAACCCGGAGTGTCAGCCGAGCACGGTGACTGCTGTACGACAACACGCACGTGAATACCTAGACAGCAGGCACCACCTCCTCATATTCATCTTCGTACACATAGTTTCACATTTACACTTTCACTCGTTTACCTTTTATCTTTTGCTTTTTCTTTACTGTGTTACAACACTAGTATTATGAATATAATTAAAGAAATAAGAGTTGATGTTGCTTTTGGAATAATCCACCAATTTCTCTAAATGAAACACTATCTACAGATTTGCATCGAAGCGTTTTTTATGATAGTGATTTTAATCGCTGTCAGATATCATCTATACTGGAACCAACTATGCCACGACCCCACTGTGCCACCACTTCACTGTGCTGGGTTTTTTTTATATTTCGTCTACTTCTTAGTTTCATTTTATGTTTCTTGGCTTTCTTTTAATGATTGATTTTTCTCATCTATATCACTTTTTTATTGAACAATTTCTTCATCAAAATTATTTTCCTCTTGAACATTGTATCTTCTTTAAATGTTACGTTTCTGCTAACAGATATTTTTCTGTGGTCATAAGATATACGATAGCTTTTTGTTTCTTCAGAGTATCCAACAAATATACCACCTATTCTGCCCTTTTTATACCGTTCTCGTTGTTTTTCCTTTGATACATATATATAAACTTCACTGCCAAATTTTTAATTTGTCGATTTGAGGAATTTTATCGTATCATAATTCGTATTCTAAAATATTGTCACTTCATAAAATATTTACTGATATATCTCGCTGATTTTTAATAAAATTAAAATACATTTGTAATTTCCTTTTACCTCTGATTTATTTGACGAAAAATGTACGTAACGATAATTTGTATAATCCTCTTAAAATAATACAAATAAAGGTACTACCTAATGAATTTTGTCCGTTGGCCCACATACATCGCCATGTATAATTTCAGTGGATGCTTTTGTTTTTTTTTTAAATAAATGAAATCGTTTTTTATGTTTTTTTCCATAAATACATTCTTTACAAAATTTGTCATTGTCCGTGTTTTTAAATAGTATTTGCATACGAGTCAAATAATTGCGTACGTATTGAAAATTTTAATGACCAGACCACTGGTACCATTGTTGCAACCTTTTTGTTGGATTTGATTCCACCTTTTTTACTATATTGGTCTGTATTATACTATATTTTCTATTCTGGTATGGTTTTTAATTTCATTACAATTATTATTAAATTTCATTATTATCACGCACACCTTCTGCTAAAATATAACTATTATTAATAAATTTACACATTTTAATATTGGACACCATTTTTATTTTATTATCCAATCATGTGCCAGATGAGAATAAGTTAAATTTTAACTCTAAAACGTATAGAATATTTGACAAATATTTTGTTGTCCATTTTCCATTTGCAAAAACAAGTACATTTATATTGCCTTTGCCATAAGTTGTAATTACAGTTCCGACTCTAATACGCACATATACATTAGTTTTAAACTGTTTGTAGTCTACAAACCATTCATTTTGTCTAGTCATATGGTCACTGAAATCTGAATCTACATACCATTTATTAATTAAATTTTTTTTTCAATAACTTTTGAACATCCATCAACAAGTTACTTATTAAATGTTATGATTCAATATTTTTAAAAGTCCTTAAAATTTTACCTAGTACATTTGAATCACCCTGTATATTTAAAATTATATATTTAATTCATTACAATTACTCTGTACATAATTAAATTTTCGGTTATTTCATTAAAATCACATTGTACCCAACACCGTATATAGTTTATCATTTGACTCATTGTGTATATTATCATTTGTACAGTATATTCATTTGAATCGCTCTGTATACAGAGTGTTCAGTAAGTCAGGAAACGGGTTTCTATTGTTTTCATTGTTACAAACAATGAGAACAATAGAAACCCGTTTCCTGACTTACTGAACACCCTGTATAATTAAATTTGCGTTTATTTCTTTAAAATCACGCTGTATATTATTATAATGTATTATTTATTGATTTAATTTTTTGTTCAATAACTGTTCGTAATCAACGCGTTACTTATTAAATGCGGTGATTCAATATTTTTATCTATTTGTTTCTTTTTAAAGCAGTCACATCGATTCATTCTAAGAACTAGTTCCTTGATTTAATCTAACTTCTTCGATCATGAGTCGTGATGTCAAGTTCAAAGTCATCAGAGTTTTCGTCAGCAGCATTGACTTAGATTCCGTAGGGTATGACTTCTTGAGTAGTCTTACCTGTGGTTGAGTTAGTTGTAGAAGTTGAAAGAGAGATAATGAATGGTTACCAAATATAACTTGACACTCGTGTATAAACTTAATTAGTTGCTTTATTATTGGTTTACAGTCACTTATACGTTCAATATTTTTGATAATAATTATAATTTAGTTGTAACACTGAATCAATAGTCCAGATATTTAAGTTTATAGTGTCAAAATACGATTGAACTAAATTCATGTACATAAGTCGTGCTGGGCTGCAATGTACAATATCAGCACCAATATGACTGTTATGGTTATTACATAACATCTTGGTAGTACCTCATTTAATTTAATATTTTAGACCATAAGTCGTGATGATTGTAAAAAGTCTGGTGTTTGAGACTCTCGTACTACGACACGGTGGTCGTAAATCCCAAAAGTGTTTATGTGTGCAGTCTGCGCTCCTGTATTAATATGTGTGTCACATTAATATGTGTATCAATGTTATAAGCCTAGTCGGCGGTAGAATGATGTTATAGGATATGAGCACATATATGTGATCGTATCATTTTATTTAAAGGTTTTTGTTGTTTTAGTATATGCTGTTCATTTCTGTTTCAGTCAAAGAACAGGGTCGTTGATTTTTGGTGGATCGTATTGTTATATGTGATATCCCAAACCTTATTTGTTTCTATTTTAACAAATGGCAGCGAGGTCAAAAATTATCATTTTCTTACACCCAGAATGTACTTCTGTGTATGTTCACACTATAATTTTTTTTAAATAATGAATTTATTTTTAATATTAGATAAATAAAAATTTAAATATCTCTGAAAATGTTTAGATAGTTCAATAAACCATAAGTAAAAAACATTATAGAAATTTATTTTAAAACGACAGTTGTTCTATCATGAATGTTTATCTTGTTACTTATAAATGTAAAATAGAATAAATAAGTGTCCTTTTATACTTCATCGAATTATTTTTTATCAAAAAGTTCAATTGTAATTAAAATTATTTAACTTCCGAATGATTTCATTAAAACTAGCCAATTTTGGTTTTATATTATTTTCTGTGGTTATGTATACAAAAGCAGGTATAATTTTAAAATCAAATATGGATCAGTTAAATACATTATTACAGTATTCAGGATGGAAAAATTCTGATAATTTGATTTACATAAAATATTTCAATAAAATACAATATCCTCGTGATTTTATCGATCCAGTCGCAGATCGCTATAAATGTAAGCGAAAAATAAGAATGTTAACCATACATCTTGGGTGCACATACTCAAATGTTATAAATAATCTTTTTTCAATTATTACCAACATTATTCAAATTTGTCAGAACAAATTAAAAAAAAAGGACGATTATTTTAATGGATGTACTTGCACCGAAGAACTCATAAACATAATATCCATATTTATTATTCCCCTGGCAAAATTGATGAAAGGAGCTATGGATTCTTTGGATTTTTTACATAGCGAACCTTGGGTATATCAAAGATGTCAGTACATAGTAAGTCCACGATTAGGTATAATTGAAAATATTCTTAATGATTTAAACGAACATATATTATCACGTGAAGATATTTTTACTTACTTATGGACATTAAATACAATAGAAAATCGTTTTCGAATCGTATCGATAGGTATAAATCATGACGTTGAACAATATTGTAAATTAGTTCTACTTGGCAAGAATTATTTATGGGATAAATGGTATCATGAGTACAAAGACAATATTAACCAAGGAATTAATTTAGTATTTATCAAATTCTTAACCAAAAAAATTAAGGATTATATCCAGAATGTAATTATACAAAAGTATTTTCAACTCGGATTTAAATTTGATCCAATAACCGAAGAAATCTTTTTACCAAAACCAAAGGAACCAAGTGATATAGGTATTTGAAAAAAAAAATATTTATTAAAACTACAATTAATATCTTAAATTTTTTTTTATGAATTTAGAATTGGAATTTAGAGCACTATATGAAGATCCTCCATTGCCAATATTAATAGAGACTAATTAAATTTTGTTCTGCATTATTTTTTTTAAATAAATCAAAATTTACATAATTAATTTGTAAATCAATGAATAATTATGAAAACAAAATAATACGATTTTATTTTTAATCACTAAAAATAAATGATATAAATAGACATTATAATCTTAAATATGACAATATTTAAGATTTTCAACCCAACCTGCATAATATAACAGTTAATTAACAATTATAAACATGACAACAAACAATTAAAAAGTGAACTGGAATTGTAGCTTGGATATTTTTATGTTTATACATAAATTTATTATTATTTGTAAACATGAAAAGCTTAATAAATATAATATTGATATTAACAATTATAAAAATTGAATGAAAATACTGTATGTTTGGTTTGAGTATGTTTTAGCTTCGATGTGAAGCTGAGAAGGTATTGGTTTTACTAAGATGTGTTTATTTATTTATTTATTTTTTTTTTTTTTGTGTCTGTTACCACTTTTTCTCAGCTCTCACCGAACCAATTTCTTTCAATGATACGTCAAAAGATCACAAATTGTATCTAGTCGAAGACATTACCCTTAAAAATTGAAAAAAATTCCCTCGTGCCCCGTAAATGGGGGAAACCTCCGAAAAAATTACAAATTTAAAAATCGCTAATTTTCGAAATTTTTTCAATTTTTATTACTAAAAACTGCCGTAACTTTTTCAAAAATGAACATATCAATATAATTCTTTTTTATATAGATGTGTAATATCATTACCCTTCGTTTGGTATATTTTTTTCATAAATTTAACCCTTAACCTGCCCACAAGCGGGGATTTAAAATGATGTAATATTCATTATTATGCAAAAAAAAAATTTCGGACTTTATTTTATCTTCACGGTGAAAATGGCTACCGAATGCTTTTTTTGTGTGAAAATTTTCGATTTTGTATTTTACATTTTTAACTTTATTATGCTATAACTTTTTGAAAAATGTATGGATCAGTACAATTTTTTCATGAGGAGTAGTATTTATATACATCTTTCATTTGACATACTGTTTTTTTAAATCCGACCATTTCCCTATATACGAGGGGGGTTCAAATCTAAAAAATGCATGTAGAAAGTAGAACTTTTTCAACTTAAATTTTGAAAGTGTTCCGGAAAGTCTGACACTTTTATATATATCTTAAATTAAAGCTAATGTAATATACTTTATTATGCAAAAAAAAAATTTCGGACTTTATTTTATCTTCATTGTGAAAATGGCTACCGAATGTTATTATTGTGTGAAAATTCTCGATTTTATTCTTTAAATTTTTAACTTTATAATGCTATGACATATTGAAAAGTGTATGGACCAACATTATTTTTTTATGAGAAATAATATTTTTTAATAATCCCTTTTTCATTCTACATACTTTATCTTAATTAGGATATTAATAATGAACTAGCAGATCATGTAGCTTTTGGAATAGTCCACCAATTTTTTAAAATTAAACAGTATCTAAAGATTTGCATCGAAGCGTTTTTTTTTGATAGTGATTTTAATCACTGTCAGATATCATTATACTTGATCCAACTATACCACGTCACCACTGTGCCGCGACCCCCCTGTGCTGGGTTTTTTTTTTAGTACATGGTACAAAATACATGATGAGGTTATAATTGAAACCTCCAAGTGGTGCCTCTAAAAACTACAATATAAAATTGATGCACTCGAGGAAGATTTAATGTTTTTCGATAAAGATTTCATCCTTATCATCCACGTGCACTATAACATCGATGTGCGAAATTTTCAAAAAGTATGGAAACAGGTCTATTGTTATGAACAATGAGAACAACAGAATTATTTTTCCTTACTTACTGAACCTCCCATATAGGTCTTATCTAAGGTCAGACATTTAATTTCAAAAACCGAAAAACTTCAACCCAGAGCACATTAATATAGTAGTAGAAGATTTTAATACCATGTAGTAATTTAATAATTCATATAATTTAAGTAATTCATGTTGCATATATTAAATTATCAATTGTTAAATCACATATTGAAAACATATCCTGTACTTGAATCAAATGTGGCCGTTTAACTTCATAAATAAATAAAATAAAAAAGACATTATAAAATATATACCTCAAATAAACAAAGTAAAGTTTGGTTGATTATTAACAATAATTTTTTTTTAGTATAACTAACTAAAAGAAACAATTCATGAATAACTGTAAGGCAAAGTATCTAATTGTAAAATCTTCCATTTGTTGTTGTTTTATTCATTTAGATGTAATCATTAATTATGTTCTATAAAAGAAAACGACTTTGACAGGACAACGTCTTGTTATAATAATATTTATAAATGCGAAACAGAATTAACATAAATTATAATATCATTTTAAATAAATCTATAAAATAATAATAATTGTAAACTTTGTAGATGAAATTAACATACTCAGTGTATTACGAAAGTGATTTGAACTATAGACAGAAAAACTCGCAAATAGAGTATTTAAGATTAAATTCACAATAACATGGGTAGATAAGAATTTTTGTTTTTTTGTAATATTAATTCAATTAGAAAAATATAAACACAGTTTCATCTCCTGAGTTGACGGCGGACAATATCCTTAGCATAATTTATTTACTAGCCTATTCTGCTCACCATTGACCATTTTCTTAGCAAAAAATACTTCAAACGCAATATAAAGTATTTTAAAATAAAAACTACTTTATACATATCATAGTACGCATTTGAAATGCTCAAGATTCTCTTTAGGATAATTCCAACATATCTATCACTTATGCACTATTCTAAAAGTGAATATTCAGTAAACATAATATATATATATATTATATTCATACAATAGATACAACAGCGTACATATAATATGACATTCAGTACACGCCGTTAACGTATATGCATACATCCTTATTCGTGTTATTTTTTACCACATAGATGTAAGTATTATACATTTTTCCTCAATAATTTCATCGTCCATGCTTAATTCTAAGTATTATTATTACTATTGTTTTTTTTAAAGACAATCTGAACTCAACTCCAGTTTCATTACACACTGAGTCGGGTAGATTAGACTGACATTTGTCATAATCAATCTTAGTCGTCTCATGCGTGGATTAACAGCGTTTAAATTAATATTATTTTTTTAATTGTTAGATATTTTTACAGTATTTTAAACGTTATCAGAGTATTCATAATAAATAGATTTTATCATATCAACAGTGTAAAGAAGTTTTATCTTTTTTTTCATACGTTTTTTATACTTTCTACAAGATTAGTGAGAGAAAAACTGGTAGTACAATGGGTTTGTGGAATACTGTGCCGCGACCATAGTTGGGAAAAATATAGTTGATATCTGACAGTGATTCAAATTACTATGATAAGAAACGCTTCGATGCAAAGCTGTAGATAGTGTTTCATTTAGAGAAATTGGTGGATTATTCCAAAAGCAACATCAACTCTTATTTCTTTAATTATATTCATAATACTAGTGTCGTAACACAGTAAAGAAAAAGCAAAAGATAAAAGGTAAACGAGTGAAAGTGTAATTTTTAGAAGAAATTGCTGAATTATTCCAAAAGCAACATCAACTCCCACTTCCTTAATTATATCCTGATCAGTAGTTTGTTGATTTAGAAGTATAATACATAATTAAATAGTAAGTATAGAAATTAAATTTATTATAAAATAATTTAATATTGTAATTTTTACGGAGAAATCATATAAAATAATAAAGTACTTTTAAATTTTATCATATTTCTGGTGAATATATATAAAAATTAAAGGTCTTGATGTAAAAATTATTATAAAATAATTTTTTGTTAATTATGAATAAATACATTGGTCTACAAGAAATTTTCAACAGAGTCAAAAATATACTTTTTTGAATGAAATTTCATGCTGTTTTAAAATCTGCAATTATATTTTTTCTATCACCTCTAATTTTACTAATTAGTAAAAACAAGTATTTACATATAAAAAAAATATTTAAAAACAAAAAATTTGTTTTCAAATTTTTATTAATTTAGATTTTTAATATGTTAATAATAATCCGTGTAAAATGTCAATTCAAAATTTTCTTCTTAACTTATTTTTTTGATTCTTTAATGTTTATTTTTATGATAGCTTATAATAAAAAGAATAAACTTTTTTTAGCTAAAATTGTAATAATGAAATTGATAAATAGAAAATTTTAAGATAATTAAAAAATATGGTATTGTTCAGATTACTATGAGGTCAGAAAAAATTATAATTATTGTTTGCAGTACATTTATGAGAAAAACCCAATATTAGTTAAAATCATTACTTTTCTATCGTAATAAAAATTTTGATAGTAATTATAGTAATCATTTTTAACTCATGGTATTAAAAAAGATTCCACAAATGAAATATTTTTTATAAAGGATAGAAACTTTTGATTTTAATCAAAAACTAATAAGAGCAACGTCAGCAATTACTTCATTAAAAATTTTATAGTTAGTCATTGTAAGCAATAATTTAATCTAGTGTTTCATGTTTCATCCGATTGTACTTAAGTCATATGTAATAACATCTATTTCCTGTTTTGAAGACGATTTTTTAACTATAACTAAAAGTAATTCTGACAAGGAAGGAGATTTAACAACAAAAAAATGAAATTATAATTTATATTTATCAAAATATATTATAGTATTTCTGCAACTTTACTCTCTTGAAACTACAGGACCACAAACTGACGACAGGATATCCTATTTTTTTTTTATAATGTACGATTTATTCAACGGAAGTCGTAAATTTTTAGTCTTTACCATTTAGGACTATCGAGTTAAATTCAAACGAAGTAGACACGCAATTTCTTAATAATACTATTGTATTAGTGCTTTGTCAAAAATCTATTTTAAATAAAACTAGTACTCTTTAGAACTAAAATAAATAAAATTATAAAACAATGAGCAAAATATATGCATTCAAACCATTTTGTTTTGGTTTCAGAGTGGACTGCATAATACGTTTACTTTTAACTATTTACTTAACAAAAACGAGATAAAACTTAATTGTTTAAAAATAAATATATAAATAATTATTTTTGTATATTTCAGTTGATTTTACTACTACAATAATTCAGAGCATTACGGAGTAAAACTGAATGCTTAATTTCTAAAATTTAAAATTATATTTCATAATAAGTAGAAAGTTTATTTTATTACAAATTTAACGATATTCAGTACTGTGGTACTCGAATAATCTGTAAGTAAATCAGTAATAGCAATTTTTATGATTTTTTGTGCATAAAAAAAGTAAAAATTCATTATCTATGACTTGAATATCCAAAATTAAATTTGTTTGGCATTGGAGAAGTCAAGTAGTAAAATTCAAAAGAAAATGCAATTCGTAATGAGGATAATAATTTTATGTTACGCATGCAAAGCAAGGATTGGCTTTATTTATGTAATTTACGGCGGTTATTTATTTATCTTTGGTAAACGACTGAACTATTATAACATATATATTAAACAAAAAATTATTGTCTCGTGCTTTCCTTGCATTACGTACGCACACTTGGTCCTATGTTGTAATAATTGACTTATTTTGGACAANGGCGGCCAGAAACGTAAGTCCGAAATGAGAAGCGTACTTATGCGACTTATAGAGATAAACGACTGAACTATTATAACATATACGTTAAACCAAAAAATTATTGTCTCGTGCTTTCCTTGCATTACGTACGCACACTTGGTCCTATGTTGTAATAATTGACTTATTTTGGACAATTGGTTATTTAATGTTATGTTCTTCAAACTAAAGAACCTTGCATTTCAATGATTTTTAGTTTTTATTAATCAGAAAACTTAGTACTGAAGAATATCTACTAAATAAGTTCATTATTTTCAGAAGTGCAAATCTTTTATACTCTTCTTATATGAGATAGTACCATTATACTATAGTATCTGAAACGATAAATGCATTCGAATGGCTAAGGAAGATTTCACACATAAAATAAATGCTTGTAGCGTACTCATATATAAGTTTTTTATGATGTAAAAATGCATTGGAAATCTTCTATTCAATAAATGTTTACGTATTCAAACCGACATTGGTTCGGCCAGGGACTCGCGCTGTGGTATCTAACGTTAAAAAGAAAAAACAGATAAAATTTTACGATTTACTCAATTCAAATTTTATGGAAAAAAAAAATTAATAATAAAATGTTGATAAGATACAAAGGTTCTTCTTTGTCATTCATATCATTACCAGCTATCGACTAGATGCATCGAATTGATTATAGCTGAGAGACGCAGTATGGGAAAGATGTGTCTCACTGTTAAAGTTTCCTTATGGTCACCCATTCGGGAACCAACAGCAAACAGTTGAACATTATCACGGTAGCGACTGAATAATCTACTGCAACACATATCGTGCATCTACTTTATTTTCTTATTCTTTGTAGAAGGGCGTTTTGTTTTATCTAAAAAAAATAATTCTATTATTATGACTAGTATAGTATTTATTAAATTTATTATATAGTATATAAAAATTTATTATAAAGTATTTACATATTAAGTTGATAGCCCTATAAAATATAAGAATGTAATTGAAAATAATCAACATTTTGTCATAAACTTCACAACATTCATCATATTTCATTATCTTCAATTTCATGGAGCTCAAAATTATTTGATACTAATATACTATATTATATTATTAGTATAATATATTATTGCATCTAGTATTATTACATTCAGCATATTGCTATTACCTATCTTTCAGGTTATTATAATATGTTTTGCCAATGTATTCATTCATCATTAAAAAATTAAAAATTTGTAGTATACTATGATTAAAAATAACAATTGCGTCTTTTTAAATATATTTTATATAAATTTAAGGATTCAACTAAAAACTAGTTCAGACTATGCCAGTAATTTAGTCAAGTAGAGAGTATTTTAGTAACTAATCACATATGAACAGATCGATTTAGACGAGTAGTTTAGTAAAGTAATTTAGTTTAGTCAATCCATTCTATTCTATTTTTTTGTGGTCGAGTAGCTACCCTCTCTTTCCCGGCTGATAACTAAATAAAGGCCTACTAATGTAATGAAACAGTTTTAAACCCTAATTTTGTCTGAACACTTTTCAGTTACTAAATCGTTTAGTAGTTAGTAAATCACTTACCACTCGACTAAATTACTGGAATAGTCTGAACTAGTCTTAAGAGTGTAGCGAGTATTGAATTCTGAAAACAACAAACATTTATTTTTATGATAGTCTATTGTATTTCTGTATTTCAAGTAATAAAATGTTTGAGTAGTCTACTATTTTTATATCTAGCATACATATTTATAAAAATACCCATCAAAAAGGGGTTGAAAAAGTTGATAGATTTTTAAAAATAAATAATTAAATAAAAGGGTAGTAACATAAGATATTAGTAAAATATTAATAATTTGATACATATATATAATGTTCAGTAAGTAAAGAAACTGGTATCTATTGCTCTCATTGTAACAATTTACCTGTTTCCTTACTTATTGAACATGCTGTATTTTTAAATAGTTATACTATTATAAAATGTGAAATTAGGTATATTTATACAAGAAAAGCATACTTTTGAAAGCCATTATAGTAAAGGGAAGTGCGAAGTAAGTTGATCCTTGGAACAATGAATTTCTTGAATTTTAAAAAAATAGTATTGTTTGCTAATTTTTCATGTTAGTAATTTTAAGTATATTAATTACACAATGACAAATTTTTCAAAAATAATTTAAATGAACACATATTTGATTTTATTTACGCATATACCTTTTTTCACGAACGATATATAAATTGTTGATGTTTTATAGCGTAAGATTTAATTTGAGTATGAATATAAAAATAAATTTCAATTTATTGTAATAGCTTACGAAAAACATCATGAATAAAAATTATTGCAAATATAATTTTAAGACTTATAAAGTGTTATACAAATCAAGAGAGTAATAAGGGGATTTTTAAATACAAATGAAATGAGGGCTATTGAACTTTTGTTATTTCTATATGAAATGCCTATACAGGGTGTTTCATTAAGTATAAGACTTTCATTGTCCCGGTAACTATTGAAAATTTTTAATTTTTGGTAAGGAAAATATTGTTTAATTTAAAAAGCTCTACAATAATATGCAGTAAAAACATAAAATTTTCATCCCTTCAAGGTTAAAAATCCCTATTTTTAATTTGTTATTATGATTTAAAATAAAAGTATAAGCAACTTTGCTCTTATAATTTTTTTTCCGATGAACCGTTCTACTGTTACAAGCGGTAACAGTAGAACTTTAACAAGTTGTTAAAGTTATATGATTTTGGAATAAATTTCTATTATTATTTTACTGTTTCGAATACAGGAGTCACTCATTTTCTATGGTGTAACATAAACCAATTTAACTTAATCCTGTTTATGAGGGTTACGCTACAACTTTTAATACGTATCCGTCAACAAAAATAAATATTATTTTGCGTAACAATGATTACGATAATATTATTGTAGTTTTGGATTATTAGGAGTCACTATACTACGCATAGAGTTGGGTTTTTCAAAGAAATTAATTTATCAGTATTACAGTTTGTCTTACAAACCAATAGACTGTACTACTAATAATATAGTTAAGGCCCGATTTGAATATATTATCTCTCAATAATTGTGTTGTAAATTATTTTTGCTGTCTTACATGTCATATTTTGGTCAACAAAAATTAGTTTATATTAAAAATAATGCCTTCTGTATTCAAAATAGTATAATAATACAATGTGACAGACGAACGGTTAATCGGAAAAAAAATTATAAGAGCAAGTTGCTTATACTTTTATTTTAAATCATAATAACAAATTAAAAATAGGGATTTTTAACCTCGAAGGGATGAAAATTTTATGTTTTTACTACGTATTATTGTAGAGTTTTTTGAATTAAACAATATTTTCCTCACCAAAAATTTAAAATTTTCAATAATTACCGAGAAAATGAGTGTCTTATTCTTAATGAATCACCCTGTATATAAAATAATTTACTTATAAATAATTAAACAATTTCAAAAGCTGATAAAATAATTCTAATAATCATCCAGGGGTATACCTTAAAAGTAGATTTTTCTTTTCTAGGTGTATTAACTATTTTTTTCTTTTTTTGTCAGTCGGTATACTAAATCAAAATTTTATAATACATCCAAAAGTTCTTAATGGAGGTCTCTCCCTATTAATTTTGAAATGAATATATAAATAATTTATTTAAGAGATAAAGTTGGAGTTTAAGAAGCCAACTTGTCACATCCTTTTCTATTATACGAATTAAAAATTTGTCTTGACGACCAGTTTATTGTGTGAAATCAACCAATAAATTTATAAAATATATATTTGATTTTTAAAAAAAATGTTTTTTTTTAAACATTTTAAAATATTTTAGAATATCTACATACATAGTATTATTTTTTTTAAATTAAAGCTTTTACAATTTATTTGAAGATTAAATAAACATCCCAACAACATGTTTTTTATAAGCAATATCATTAATGTAAAAATTTATAAAAATTCCGTAAACATAGTTGTTTTAGCTTTGACGTGAAGCTGAGAAGGTGTTAATTTTAATATGATGTGTTTTTTTATTTATTTATTTATTTATTATGTCTGTTACCACTTTTTCTCAGCTCTCATTGATCCGATTTCTTTCTACGATACGTCAAAAGATCACAAATCATATCTAGTCGAAGACATTACCCTCAAAAATTGAAAAAATTTCCCTCGTTCCCCGTAAAACCTTCAAAAAAATTACAAATTTAAAAATCGCTAATTTTCGAAATTTTTTCAATTTTTTTTACTTAAGATTGCTATAACTTTTTTAAAAATAACCAAATCAATATAATTTCTTTTTATATAGATGCATGATATCATTACCTTTTATTTGGTATATTTTTGAACTTGATTTTTGAAAATGTTCTGACACTTTTATATATATCATAAATTAAACCTAATGTAATATACTTTATTATGAAAAAAAAAAATTTCGGACTTTATTTTGTCTTCACGGTGAAATTGGCTAACGTATGCTATTTTTTTGTTAAAATTCTCGATTTTATATTTTACATTTTTAACTTTAAGTGTTATAACTTTTTGAAAAATGTATGGATCAACACAATTTTCTTATAATAAATAATATTTATATACTTCTTTCATTCGACATACTTTTTTTTTAAATCGGACCATTTCCCTTAATACACGGGTGGTTCAAAACATATAAATACATATAGAAAGTAGAACTTTTTCAACTTAATGTTTGAAAGTGTTCCGGAAATACTGACTTTTATATATATCTTAAATTAAAGCTTATGTAATATACTTTAAAATTAAAAAAAAAATTCGGACTTTATTTTATTTTCATGGTGAAAACAGCTACCGTATTCAAAAATATGTTATTTTTGTGTTAAAATTCTTGGTTTTGTATTTTATTTTATTATAAAAGGATTACACTAATTTTCATAAATATTATATCAATCTAATTGACATAGTATAAAAAATTAAACATATTTAAATTTTTTTGTTTCTTTGGAGTCGAGAAAAATAACTTTAAATTTGAACTAGCTAAGTTTCCATTTTTATTAAGTGACGAATGAGACGTATGGTTTCTGAGGCGGTAACACTTGGATCTTTCATGCCTGTGGCACTGAATTTTTTCTTAATTCTTTTTGAGTTAGAATAAAATGTTTAACTCATTTGATTTTTATCTCATTTAGATTCAATAATTTCAATAAATATCAAGAATCCCTTTACTGTAGTCTCCTCTCGTGAGAAGAAATTCATTATAAATATTATTTTACTATGTGGTTTTTTTTTGTAGCTATCATTTATTTTCTCTGCTCTCACTTGACCTACTTTTTTGACAAATTTTTTTTTTTTAATTAAACACTATCTACAGATTTGCATCGTAGCGTTTTTTATGATAGTGATTTTAATCACTGGCAGATATCATCTATACTGAACCCAACTATGCCACGACCCCACTGTGCCGGGTTTTTTTTAAGTTATTCTATATAAACGCATCGATGTTTTTTATTATACTGATATTGATACGATACTGTGTTTACTGTGTCAATGTGAAACACACAAGATTTTATTCTATACTGAGTTCTACTATTCTTGATCCCAAATGTACTGATTTTTACATAATTTTTATTAAACTAAATAATAAGTTGTTAATTTTTGATGGAAGATGTATTTCAATTATTATTTTGAATTAAGATAGATATAATTGTTATTAAAATATATGTATTCTGATTAGCAAAATAATAGAATTAATAAATGAAAAGCATATAATTAAATAATGATGTTATTTTATAATTTTTATTAGAGATAAATTTTATAATGTAAGATTATTTAGAAATCATAATTTTGAATTTAATAGATTTAAAATCATAGTTATTATAATCCAGTTTTTGATGATAAAAACAAGACGAACATAGTGTTATTGTCAACAATGACGATTGTGAAGGTGCGAAAACAAGTTGGCGACTATGTAAATAAGTTCATCTATTTACATTCGCCGACGTGCTACCAAATCGTACGATCACGTCATATTGTACACCCGTATTTCATGTATTTTTTAATATTTAAGTATACAGGGTGGAAATACTTATGTATTCGAGTTTTGACTGTTTTGTATACAGGGTGGCCCACCACTCACTGACAACTTAAATAACTTTTAATCCAGTTAATATTTTTAGCTGATTTCTTTTTAAATAATAGTTATACGTTAGGTCCATAGCTATATCTTAATAATTAATTTTTTTACATTTTATTAAAAATATTATTTATTTTTAAATTTTAAATAAAATGAAAAAAAAAAATCTAAGATAGCTATTTTGTAGAGTAGAATTTAAGAAAAATTTTAGTAAAAAAATATCTTATTAATATTCAGTAGTAAATATTCTGTAGCGTTTTGAAGTTTGTGAAAATTTGAATTTTCATGTATTATTTTACGGTATTAAACATTGAAATACGTATTGAGAAAAGGACAGAAGAAAACGCTATCTTTTCAATATACTTTTGAATGAGAGTGATAAGTAATAATTGCCTTATCTAATTTCTTATCATGGTATTAATGCCAAGTTTGTAATGTATACACATTATCATCATATGTATACACAGTAATCATGAAAAGATAGCGTTTTCTTCTGTCCTTTTCTCAATACGTATTTCAATGTTTAATACCGTAAAATAATACATGAAAATTCAAATTTTCACAAACTTCAAAACGCTACAGAATATTTACTACTGAATATTAATAAGATATTTTTTTACTAAAATTTTTCTTAAATTCTACTCTACAAAATAGCTATCTTAGATTTTTTTTTTACATTTTATTTAAAATTTAAAAATAATTAATATTTTTAATAAAATGTAAAAAAATTAATTATTGAGATATAGCTATAGACCTAACGTATAACTATTATTTAAAAAAAAAATCAACTAAAAATATTAACTGGATCAAAAGTTATTTAAGTTGTCAGTGAGTGGTGGGCCACCCTGTATTGTTACGTTTAAAAGCAAAATAAACTTATTTTACTTTAAAACAATCACGGTATTATAATATATTATTATTAAATAACCCTTATACCGTGTAACTTTTGGCTACTCACAGAGGTTAATTAACCAGGTGCAGTGTTCCAAAATCAGGTAGATTTTATTTAACTGCTCATTGTAAAATAGCTCCTGAAGTATACTACCGCTTTAGTAAATGTCAAGTAATTCATGAATTCCACTGTCACACTACACATACGAATAACACAGTGGTAGGCAGACATTACATTATGTAATCTTCATCTTTGTTCTTCTTTTTCCTCTTATTTTTCCCAACTACTTGGGTGAGCCACCTTTTTCTTCAACTTTCACAAGACACGATCTCACTCATCAATGTACACGTCAGCAGTCTTCATATTGCTATCAATCTCTTTTTTGGTCTTTCTCTACTTCTTTTTCCTTCAACATTTGTTTCCATAATTGTTCTTACAGCTTCCGATTCCTCTCTACACAAAAATGACAAAAACCATCAAAGTTATATATTCTCATATTTTTTACGTTTGACACGTTACACAATCATACGTGTTAAGTAAGTAGTAGGTTACGTATATAACGACTATCACATTGTTGTTATTTTTAATATAGTAACAATGAGTTCGTAAATTTCCCTATGCGATAATTTAAAATCATTTTATATGAGTTATCAAAAATATGCCAAATTGAATGAAATCATTAACATATTGGGAAGAAATGGAAACGGATATCAATAAATATTTTAAGTATTTCGATTGCGTGTCAAAAGTGAATAAATTAGATGATAATAAAAAATTGTCTATGTTATTTTTATACTTATATGAACATTCACTTAAAATATTTGAATTTATAGAATATGAATCAATATCAAAAGATAAAACTAGTTGTGAATTAAACATTCAATCCTTGAATTTGATAAAAATTAACGATTTCTCTTATCTTCTCGATTTCTATTAATAAAGGAAAAAGTAAATAAAAAAGATATCATTTTCGATGTTGATACTGAAGCGAGTATAAGTTCCATAAAACATTAGAAATTAATGATTTTAACATTTTATATGTAAAAAATTGGTTAAGTAAATATTTATTTGATAAAGGGAAAATCATTTTCAAGTTTTGACTGTAATATCTTTAACTAAAAACTAGTTGTGATCATTTTACGTATTATTGAATAAAATCGGTCCGGCGAGAGCTGAGAAAAATTGGCGAAAAATATAAAAAATCTTCTCAGCTACGCATCAAAACTAAAATTTTATTAATTATAACAACCTAAATAATGTAACTACATAAGTTGATGTAATAAATAACTCAAGATTACCATTTTAAAAATGTTTACGATTTTTATCCAGTCTCTTAAATTCCTATTATAACCATACCCTCCACGTACTCATTTACATCCTCTCCTCTTATTACCTTTATATCCATGTATTATCGTATCCTCATTACTAAGTATAACTTGCATTACCTCACCTATCTCTCTTTAAAATACTTCCATCACATCCTACTTGTGGAGTATAGGCATTTAATTAGTTCTACTTTACTTTTCATCTCATCATCCATTATCATACCTACAACATTGTTTGTATTGGTCTTACCTGAGTATATAATTTTATAATCCTCACATATTTCCCTTGCCTTTTTTCACTTCCTCTTCAATACTCTTACTAATCTCTACTTCTACCAGTCAATGTTCATTTAAATTACGATGTACACAAACTCTTTTATGTTTTTTCTGTATATTATCATTTGTACAGTATATTCATTAGAATCACTCTGTGTATAAATGTCTGTGTGGATTAAGGATAAGAATATTCCCACGGTCCCCCTGCCAGTCATAAGAGGCGACTAATGCGATTGCGTCGGGTCGACAGAAGTAGTAAAATTTTTGTCAAAAAGTATGAGGAGTTCTGAACAAAACTAAGGAGAGTGTTCCATCTAGTATGTACGCGGGAATAACAGATGAGAGGAACAGATGTAGTTAAAAACGGAGAAGATCTAAGGAATAAAGTATTTGATATCAGCCGGACAATTTTTGCGGTTGCTGTTTCACCAGACTTCTTCTATCTTTTACTTGATATACATTTATTAAAAACCTGACTCTTTACCTGCCTACAAGGAAGGATTCAAATAGAAACTTTTTCAGATTAAATTTTGAAAATGTTCCAGAAATACTGTATCTTTTAAATATATGTAAAATTAAAGCTCATGTTACGAACTATAAATTAAAAAAAAAAATTTGTCTCGACAATTTATCCTCTATATGCATATGACTGTCGAAGTTGAACAAATTTATTAGATATTTATTCCTATATTATACTTAAAAATCATAGAAGTACTAATTAGGAGTAATGAAGGAAATCATTTAATTTTGTCCAACCCGGATACATTAGTAAGTTATCTATCTGCTATTTTTTTTTTGAACTCTGGTTTCCTTTTACATACAAAATCACAGAAAATATAAAACTTAACTTTATAAGTTTTAATGAAAGCATTCTAAAATAATTGCTAATAACTACTATGACTGAAAATTTTCGATCAAAATAATATTTGACAAAATGTCAAATAACACGTATGTAATCTGTTCTCTGTTTATGAATATCAAAATATAAATAAACAAAACATCTGTCACATTATAATAGACCTCTTTAATTTTTTTTATTTTAAGCCGCTGAATATTTACTGTAAATTTTTCTCAAAATTTTTGGTTAGGAATTTGAAAAATACTAAATTAATGTCATGACCAATACTGGTTTTGTACTCCTGATTCCATTCTTTCCATAAATAATTCTTATCATAAGTTAGAAATTCATAATATTCAGCAACTTCATAATTTTGACGTTTCATTATGTCGTCAAAAAATTTATCTACAGTATTTAATGTCCAAATGTATGTGGAAATATGAATATACTTATATTATATAATTTAAATATACTTATCCTGCGATACAATATTCTATAGACTTTATATACTTATAAATGGATGAGAGGAGGAATAAGGGCGAGAAATTATTAATAATATAAATACTCAAACCAAAAATTCAGTAATTATTTTTATTTTTATAATTTGAATATCAATATTATATTTATTAAACTTTTTATGTGTACCACTAATAATAAATGAGTATATATATTTAAAATCACTTGCGTAAGATTCCAGTCTTCATTATTTAATTGTTTATTGTATTTTTTGTAATTGATAATTAACTGATCTATTAAGCTGGCAATTTATATTAGTTTCTAAATAGGTCTAAAATTTCATTATATTATTTTTAGTGTCATATTTAAGATAATCATATATATTTATATCATTTATTATTAATGATTCAAAAAAAAATTAAAAATAAAATCATATTATTTTGTTTAAATGGTTACCCAAAGATTTACAAATTAATTATGTAAGTGTGGTTTATTTTTAAACGTAAATATAGAATGTAATTTATTTTTTTACAACATTTAATGAGTCTTTATTACTATTATCTTTGTTTTATTCATCTGTTGTTTTAAATTCCAATTCTAGATTCATAAAAAAAATTATAAGACATTGAATTGATATTTTAATAAATATTTTTTTATTTAAATTACCTAGCTCAATTGAGTCATCTGGTTTTGGTATAAATGTTTCTTGGGTAATTGGATCAAATTTAAATCCGAGCTGAAAATACTTTTCTGTAATTACTGTCTGGATATAATTCTTAATTTTTTTGGTTAAGAATTTGAAAAATACTAAATTAATTCCTTGGTTAATAATGATTTCGTACTCTTGATTCCATTCTTCCCATAAATTATTGTTATCAACTTGTACAAATACACAATATTGTGAAGCGTCATGATTTACACCAGCCATTATTATTCGAAAAAAATTATCAACAGTATTTATCGCCCATAAGTATGTAGAAATGTCATCACGTGATAAAATTTGTTTGTTTAAATCGTCATGAATATTTTCAATTTTCCCTAATCGAGGACTTATCATATAGGTAGTTTTATTATATGCCCAAGGTTGGATATGTAGTAAATCCAAAGCATCCATAGCTCTCTTGAACAATATTGCTAGTGGAACAATTAATAAGTATACTATTTTTACGAGTTCTTCTGTTCAAATACATTCATTAATCAAATCTTTCTCTTCTTCAAATTTATTTTTACATATTTATATTAATTTTTTATTAATTAGAAAAAGATTATTCAATACATTTGCGTATGTGCATCCATGATATATAGTCAAAAATCGTATTTTTTGCTTACATTTATTGGTATTTGTGGTTATTTCAATCAAATTTTAAATATAATACATTTTATTGAAATATTTTATATAAATTAATTCATTTAAATTTCTCCATCCTGAATACTGTAATAACTTATTAAACTGATCCTTTTTTACTTTTATAATTGAACATACTTTTGTATACAAAATCACAGATAATAATATAAAACAAATTTGGCTAGTATTAATGAAATAGTTTTTAAAATAATATAATTTTAATTACTGTTACTTTTTGATCAAAATGTAATTCGGTTTAGTAATAAAGTACATTTATAAATAACAAAAAAAATATTTATGGCAGAGCAACAGATTTATTTAACTATCTAAACGTTTTCTGACAAATTTCCAATTTTTTTCATCTAATTTTAAAATATATATAAATATAATCTAAACTAATCAAAAATTAATAATTAATTATATTTGACAAATTCTATTAACTAAAAAATTGACCACTCGTTAAAAATTTTTGAATCAATACTTTATAAAATATTTATATTTTTTATACAAAGTGGTAGAAGTAGTATAGTTTTTTTGAAAATTATAAAACAAAAGATGTTATTAATTTTTAAAAAAGGAAAATTCTTATTATATTTACTTTTAAGGCTATTACATAAGGCATTGTTAAGCAATTACCCTGTAGAATACTATTGTGTAGTTAAAGGTTGTATTCACATAATTTGTAGTGGGACTTGTTCTATGGTTGAAATTAAATAGACACTGATTTTCTTTTCAATAACTGTTGTTATGAAAATTTTGACGCTTCAATAATTGTTTTTGAATTCGATGAAGGTATAATACCGTATCATGAAGTACGTTTAAATAGTCTTTAATCACTTCAATTGTAACAATCACACGAAAAGCTCTATTGAAGTACGCAATGGTACTTAGCGTGTGTGCATTATATAGTATTAAGTATTATAATAGTATATTATATAGTATATAGTATTATGTTAAAAGACGATAATATATAGTATGTACTTGTAGTTAAAAAAATTTATGGTCAGCAATATTTTCTTCGGCAAGAACGCCACAGATGACCTTCCCCCCAGTCAAACTTTGTTCTATATCTTAAAATAATAATAATGTAAAAAAATGGTTATAATTCTTCATCCCATAAAACAATTTGTTGTACTAAAGGGTAGATTCCAAGAGATAGTGTGTTAGCCTTCTAGTGTTTTGAATCATTGTTAGCGTTTGCAAACATTCATTGTTAAAAAAAAGTTACTAAAGATTATATACACAAAAGTACATCTTGAGTGTATGAAAATGATTATTTTCGACTTTACCGCCATTCGTCAAAATTGGAACAATAAGAGTTTAATAAGAGTTATATCACATATAACAATACGATCCATCGAAAATCAACAGATGAAATGTTATAGCACCCTGTATTAATAGTAAAAATCCTGTATTTTATTATTTTATTTTTGAAACGGTAAAAATATACGATTTTTGATGTATATGCGAGCAGTTTTACACAAGAACGCTTGTATAAGAATGGACTATTTTGAAGTTCAATGTATTTCCTTCTTTTAAGGTCACAACAAGATATTTCAAAACTTAAATTTAATATTTGTAAGTGGGAACTAATTTTTTGACAGGGAAAATAAATATAAATAATTTTAGTCTTAACATATTTTTATCCGATTAATCGTTAACAATTACAACAATTTAAAGTTTATTAATTTAAAATAAATTTTCTAATAAGATATTATTGGTAAAAATAACAGAAAATTTCCGTTTTGCATTGTTATTGTATAAAATAATTTTTATTTATTAAGGTATTTTCCAGCACACAAAAATATTGTACTTAATTTATGTCTATTAACAACTGCATACACTTAAGTGGTAACGCAAGTTTACTATCTTACTAAAAAGTGGTCTTGGGACAAAAATAAATCATAATACACATTTTGTAAGCATTAGGACAATTAAAGAGGATTATTCATACGAGTATATAAATAAAAAGATTGCTAAGAAGTCGGAAAGTAATGATTTAAACAATCGTCCCATAAAAAATTATTATGATAAACGTAATGAAAATAAAAAAGCAGGACAAGTGAAACTCTGCATTATTAAATTATAAAATGAATATACATATTGATGTAATTGAATATAATGATAAATCCTCTGTTATATTGAACTAGTACACGGAAAAATCATAAATATTTTAATTAGAAATGTAAGTTTCATAATGTAGAAATATTAATTTTAAGTTCAATACATATAAAATTCATATAAATTATAATCCAGTTTCTTATAAGCTTGTAGCATAAATTTTCCTTCATAACAACTTCTGCTATTTTAACAATTTTATATTAATATTTCATTCAACAATTGAATATGTATCATAAATATATTGAAAACTTTAAAGTCAAATACCGTATTAATTTATTTTACAATAATGGTAAACCATGAGCTTAAGTAATGATTGTTGTAATTATTACACATGTATGTAATTCACACTGTGCCGTGACACCGGCAGATATACTTATTAAAATAAAAATAATTGGATCCTTGATGTTACTATATCTAGTCTATATTATTAGTAAAAGCATATAGTATTTACTACGCTACATTTTGTAAAACAATGTACCAGAAAAATTTACAACCAATAAATAAATGTGTGAATAAATATCAGTCCTCATTTTTTAAATGTTTATTATAATTATTGTTAATTAACTTATATATTAAACAGGCAAACTATATTTGTATATAAAAATGTAATTTTCTATTTTATGTCATATTTAAGATTATCAAATAATTATATCATATATTTTTAGCGATAAAAAATAAATTAAAAATTAAATCATACTATTTTGTTTAAATGGTTACCCAAAGATTTACAAATTGATTATGTAAATTGTGGTTAATTATAAATATAGTACAAAACTTATATTATTAAAACAATTATTGAGTCCCTATTAGTATTGGCGATGGAAGATGTTGATATGGTACTCTTAATTCCAAATCTAAATTCATAAAAAAAATTATAAGATATTTAATTGATATTTTAATAAATATTTTATATTTTAAATACCTAGCTCAATTGGATCCATTGGTGTTGGTAAAATCGTTTCTCCGGTGATTGGATCAAATTTAAATCCGAGATGAAAATACTTTTCTGTAATTACTGTCTGGATATAATTCTGCATTTTTTTGGTTAAAAATTTGAAAAATACTAAATTAATGGCATGACCAAAAATTGTTTTGTACTCATGATTCCATTCTTTCCATAAATTTGTTTTAACTGGTACAAATTCACAATAATGTACACAGTCTTTATTTAAATTTGTCATTTTGATTTTAAAAAATTTATCAATAGTTTCCAATGCCCCAGTATATGTAGAAATATCATTATGTGACAGAATTAGTTTTTTTAAATAGTCATGAATATTTTCAATTTTCTCTAATGTAGGACTTACCATGTAGTCATATTTTTCTATGTTATTCCATGGAGTATCATGTAATAAGTCAAAAGCATCCATGGCTCCTTTTAATAATGTTGCCAGTGGAACAATGTATAAGGATATAAGCTTTATTAGTTCATCGGTGAAAATGCATCCATTGATTAAATCTTTTTCTTCGTAAATTTTTCTTTTACTATGTCGTATAACGTTACTAATTACTGAATAAAGATTTTGCATAACCTTTGCATATGTACATCCGAGATAAATAGTTAAAGTTCTTATTTTTTGATTACATTTATTAAAATGTGTTGGTGTTTCAATCATATTTTGTAAATAATGTGTGTTACTGTAAAATTTTATCAAATTTATATCACTTAAATTTTTCCATCCTGAAAACTGTAGTATCAAATCTAACTGTTCTATTGTTTTTTTTGTACCCATTTTTGCGTTTGTATACAAAATCACAGAATATAATAAAAAACTAAACGTTAAAATTTTTAATGAAAACATTGGAATATAATTACATATAAATATGATTAAAATATTTTTATCAAAATATAAATCGAAGAATTAATAAATTCCCGTATTTATTCTGTTCTACATTCATAAATAATTAGATAAATATTTACTATAAACCATCTGTCGACTTATAATAAACTTCGTTATATTCTGAATGATTCTTTTGATGTGTTCACTCGGTTTTTCTTAAAATAATAACTTTTTTTGTAAATTTTTATTATTTTGCTGCTGTTAGTTACATATCTATTTTTATTTATCAGTTATAAGATATTTTTTATGTTCATCCCTTATGGCATATAATGGTGTTACTTTTATTTTTTTTAATTGAAACATACATATTCAACTAACTATAAAATAGAAAATGATATAATTAATAAAAATACTGGTCGATAATAACTTCTGGACCAGTATTTTAGAAATTATTAACATTGTTATATCTTCGCTGGTGGAGAAGTGAGGTCTATAAATATTTAGTGATAAAAACAGCAGCATACACTCCTCACCACAAGTCATTACTTTTAACTATTAATAATTTTTGAAATACTGGTCCAAAGATTGTTATCGATCTGTTATTTTCTTAATTGCATAATTTTCATTTTATAAGCTTGTTAAATATGTATGTTTTATTAAAAAATTTAAGTTGGCACACCTATAAAACATAAAGGATGGACATAAAAATATTTTATACCAGATAATTAGAAATATATAAGTCACTAATAAAAGCCAAAAACAAAATTAAAAATTACTACTTTAAAAGGAACGAGTGGCTAGCGTTAATAAATCACACTGTAGAATCATATTTGTATTGTGTAATTATTATTATGTCTAGCTTTGATTATTTTAAACATATATTGAATATTAAAACATTACTTATAACTTTACGGACATTTTTTTTAATCAAATCTTAAACATTAATTAAATATAATTAAAAAATAATTAATTAGGTTTTGCTTTAAAACTAAAAATAATTTAATTTAAGTTAAACCAAAAAAAATAATATTTGATTACTTCGTTCATTCATGATATTTTAAAATTATATTTATTACGACTATCATAAATAATCTTACTACGGAAAATCCTTTTAATTACATTGAAGAACTCTTTGCGGCTATACTCTAAATTTATTTACATAATAGTTATGTAAATTAATTTAGAATATTATAATTATTATAGTATTCTTTATGTTATTTATAATAGTTCAATAGAAAGTAAACTTTTCGTTAAATTAATTATTACATCATTCGATAGCGATTATAAAATTATATATGAAGTAAAAATTGTAAGCAATCCCAATAATACATTCATTTATTATTTTAGCAATAATTAAATGGCAATAATACTATAATGTTTATTGTATTATTATAAAATGTACTTTAAAAATAATCTCATTTGAGGTGAAAATTTTTAAAAGAATATCGTTGGGGTGATTCTAATTGTTTTACTGGGAATGTGACCAACACCGTCCAATTAGTTTAAATTGGTCCATCGAAAAAAATTGCAGTTTTTTCGACTGCATGAAACCAGCCACTAATAATAATACTCCAAGTTATTGTCTATAAAAATATCACTAATAAAAATGCATTGTTTAAAGTAAAATAGACCATTGTTACTATATGAATTAAACTGATTGATAATATTATGTTAAAAGTATAATACAATATGGTATATACTAAATTACTAAGTATATATTTTATATTAATACGTCGGTAATTAGTTCCGTAATAACGTTATAGTTATGTTAATTAAATTTAAAGTGTCTAATTATGAATTTTACTTTTGCATTGAAATAGCCTCATTTAATTTAGTAACTTCTACGTGTTCTATGTGTTTTAGAACCTTAAATTTAATTTTAATTACATTAATTGTTTATTAATTCAATATAAATTCCTAAATAATTTAAATAAAGTATCTTATGATAAATTTTATAGAATCCTTAAAATACTGTAAAATAAATGTAAAATCGCTGTCCAATTTATATTCGGTTTCAATATGATATTATTATTTGAAACGCTTTGTGCTTGTTTTCGATCAGAAACCAGAATAGTATCAAAAACGCACTTATGTCGAATTTAAGTATTCCAATTATTTCCACCTTTTTATTCTTCGTCCTACCGCTTTTGACAAAAATTATTGTTAGCGCACAAAAGAAATTTGAGCCCCAAGAGAACTCTTTTAAATGTGCCAACCGCAGAGGGACGTTTGATAAAAAAAATAATAAAGGGAGGAAACACATTTTCATATAAAATACATAACTTGTTAGCGATATAAAATACGATTCAATACTCTTAGCAATCGGGTAAAACATAAAATAAATAAATTAATGTATTTCATAATACATCTTAATATAAGGTTTATGTTGACTGTGTTTAATTGATACTTCTACAAATTTTTTATTTTACATACTATTTATAATTAGGTTGTTTTTTTTATCATAACCCGATCAATTACTTACAAAATAAAAATAATGTAAAATTTTTTTTTGGTTACCTTTAGTTACATATTTTTCTTAAATTAATGGATATCTAATACTTTTAAAGTTTATCCCTGATGCCTTGTAAGGGTGTTAACTTTGTTTTTTCAAATGGAAACATGTATTTTGAATTTAATAAAATGTTTGGGTTTTTTTATTAGTAAAAGGCATTTGATTCTTTAATAAAACTTTATTTGCTAATTAGATTATAAAACTTTAAAGATTCAAATTATTGAGTTAATATACACGTATAATACACGAGGGATTACAAATACAGGTAGCTACTTAGTTTTTTATGACGTCACTATCACAGACTCTGAGGGTCAATTATGACAACAAAATTTTAGGTTTTTTTTTATTTCCATACAATTTTCTATTGATATAATAAATAATAAAAATCGGTAACACGTCCTCACTGTGCTGTGACCCCGGCAGAAGTACTTATTAATATAAAAATAATTGGATCCTTGGTAGTACTATATCTAGTCTATATTATTAGTAAAAGCATATAGTGTTTACTACGCTACATTTTGTAAAATAATATACCAGAAAAAATTTTATATGATAATATCATATAAGAAAACGGTAGTACAATGGGGTCACGACACGGTATTGAAGTGACATAGTTGGGGCAAGTATAGATAATATCTGACAGTGATTAAAAATTAAATCATAAGAAACACTTCGATGTAAATAGTGTTTAGTTTTAAGAAAAAGGACGATTGTTCTAAAAGCAATTTAATTCCTATTTCAATCGTTATTCTTAATTAATAGTTCTATGATCTATAAGCATAATGCATGAATGAATATACTTATTGTATTAATTAAATGTAGTATGAAATTTATATTCAATAATTTAATATTATTATTTTTACGGAGAAAAACGTATAAAAAATTGAAAAGCTTGATTTCAAAAAAAACTCGTTTATTATTTATGAATAAATACACTGGTCTACTAGGAGTTTTTATCAGAGACAAGAATATTCTTATCTAAATGCGGTAGAACACGAGTGAGTTACTACATATGATTAATTATATTTTATCGGTGTCATGGTTCGAGAGTTTAAAAATAATAAACTTTTTAATGTAAATTAAAGTATTAAATTATTTGTTCATGTGTTAAATTGTAACTATACGGTTTTATGTAAGTTAAGCAACCCCAAGTGGCATGTGCCTTTACACAGGGACTTACTCTGAGGATTTCTTCTGCACGAAGTGGTGCAGCATGAACGCCTCGATCCCAATACTTTTAAAATGTGTGTATACCGTACATTTTTATAATATGATAGAGTTAATTACTGTTATATTAATGATTTTTGACTACGCATAAAACCTTAGTATTTAAAAAAACGATTAGTATTCTTCTAACCACTAAAATGTGTTTATAAGGTTTAGTAATGTCCTCATTTAAACTCTTAAAAATAAATAATTTAATAAATATAATATCGATATTAACAATTATAACAATTAAAAGTGAATACTGTAGGTTTAGAGTGGGTATTTTTATTATGATTCATTTCTTACCCTTACTCTTCCCACCTAATTATATACATTTAAACATATATTATTATGCTAAGAAACGTAGTTAAATCCAACCCGTCATCTTAATAATTAAACTATTATATGATGAATAAACTAGTAAATTAGGCATAAACTATATGGGAAAATATTCTTTTAATTCTTAACATCCTTTTAAGATATAACGATTGGACATACACCAAAGTAAATAATATGAAAACAGTATTTAATTATTCATTACCATATACACATAGTAATTACTTTAACGCTAGCTACTTGATTTCTCTAAAACAAATAATTTTTTCGACATATCAATTTATTAATTAAAATATTTATTATATTATCAGTTATTTAATATTTATCTAAATAGCAATATACACGTTTAATATGTATATTGTCATTTAAAAAAATGAATTTGGTACCTTTATAATAGTTAAGGGATAACCTAAACATATAAAACGACTTATAGATCCAGAAATAAATACTACTCAACTAAACCAAAAATACTATTTATAGATATACAAATGGTATGATTTTTTTATCACTTAGTTGTAAATAGTTTTGAATAAGTAAGATCAGCCATTTCTTTATATATAATACAGTATTTTAAAATCTTAAAAATTATATATTTACTTTGCACAAAACAAATAGGTTTGGAGGTATAAACTGTAATTCCAATTCTTATTTTCACAATTTAAAACTCTAAAATATACTATGAGCAAATAAATTTTAATAATTTATAGAACTTTGTTAATTTTCGAGCATAAATTTATTCTAATATATTTGTTTTCGATAGTCTATTTTTGAATAGACGTATATACTAGATTGAAATTTATTAGATATAACCAGTCACTCATCGCACATATTTATTATTATATTAGGCTGTATGGAGTAAATGTGTTCCGTAACAAAAATACTACATTTTATAACAACTTTGAATTAATATTTAATATTAGAATATTATTATTATTATTAGCTATTGAAAAGGTGAAAAAATGCAAGACATTTTTTCGGAAGTTTGGCTTTTTCAATCTAAAAAAATATATTACGATTATAATTTACATATTAAGCTGATAATCCTATTAAATATAAAGGGGGTGTTTCTAAAATATAATTATTAGCTGATAAATCAAGAGATATATGTAATTAAAAATAATCAAAAATTTTTTAATTATATTATATAAATTTCGAGAGTAATCTAATGGTTTATTAGAAACCGTTCACTTTTTATATATTATAAAAATTTTCATACTTGTATGTTATATTTTACTTTTACTATTTAAATAATTATTTCATAAGACTGCTAAATCACTATGATCATTACTACAATTGTCGTTAGCAATTATTATACTAACCATATTTGTGCTTATTACACAAAGTACAAAATAATACAACACAATAAATATATTGTGAGATTGACTAATGAACGTTTCAAAATGCCAAAATTTAACATACAACTATATTTCTTATGACCATATTATTTTTTTATTCAATGTGAAGTTATGAACTCATTGTTCATTTAAGGGTGATTGTTCAATGAAATTCCTTTTACGTCTCCTTGTGTTATCCAATGCAAAAACCACATTCAATTTGATAAGTACTCCGACCGGAGAGTGTAAAACCAAAAAAAAAAAGGTAATACAATAGGGTCTATCATGAGATTAACTATCTTGTATTAGGTTGCTAATTACTGTACAAAGATTTTTATAACTTTTGCATAGTGCATCCAAGAAATATAGTAATGATTTTTATTTTTGGATTACCATCATAGCGATATTTGTTTGTTTTAGTCAAATTTTGAAGATTATATTTTCTACTATAATATTTTATGCAGATTAAATCATTTAAATTTGTCCATCCCGGATACAATAGTAAGTTATCTATCTGGTGTATTTTTTTTTTTTTTTTGAACTCTGGTTTCCTTTTGTATACAAAATCACAGAAAATATAAAACTTAACTTGATAAGTTTTAATGATAGCATTCTAAAATAATTGCTAATAACTATGACTGAAAATTGTTTTTATTTTATACTACATAATATAAGCTTTAATTTAACATATATTTAAAGGATGCAAAATTTCAGAACATTTACAAAAGTCAAGTTGAAAAGTTGACTTTTGTTAAAAGTTGCTATTATGAATTTCAAAAAAAATAATGTATAAAAGGGAAATCATTAAGATTTATATATAAAAAAAATTATTTTTTTTGATAATTTTTAAAAAATTTATGGCACTTTATAATAAAAAATCTAAGTGAAAAAAATGTAAAAATGTATCGAATTAAAAAGCGTAATTTTTTAGGGGATTTACCCCCATTTACAGGAAACGAGAGAATTTTTTTTAATTATTAAAGACAACGTTTTCAACTAGATGCAATTTGTGAACTTTTGACGTATCATTGAAAGAAATCGATCTAGTGAGAGCTGAGAAATAGTGGCAACAGACACAAAAAAAACATATCATAGTAAAATTAACACCTCCATAGCTTCGCATCAAAACTAAAAATGATCTAACGAAGAAAATAACTAGTCGAAAAAAATTATTACTTTTATAGAAATCAAGTAGCTAGAATTAAAGTAATTACTATGTAAATATGGTAAAGAATAATTTAATATTAGTCAAGTATGAAAATTTTATAACCTTCTAGACACATGAATGGTATCATAGATATCAAATATTTTAAAACTTTTCCGTATGCACAGCAGATATATACTGTAAGAGATCTAATATTCTTCTTCTTCTTCCTCGCCTTAATCCCAACTACTTAGGGTCGGCCATCCTTATCCTAAACTTCCACTTGACACGATCTCTCACATCATTTACGCTCACATCAGCTGTCCTCAAATCGCATTCAATAGCATCCCTCCATCTCTTTTTTGGTCTTTCTCTACCTCTTCTTCCTTCAACATTCATTTCTATAACTATTCTTACAGCTTCCGATTCTTCTTTCCTCATTACATGACCAAACCATCTAAGTCTATTTTCTCTCATCTTATCCACAATTGATGCTACACCTATACTCCCTCTTATATGCTCGTTCCTTATTCTATCTTTTCTAGTCACTCCACTCATCCATCTAAGCATTCTCATCTGTGCTATACTCATTCTCTGGTCTACTTTCTTATCAACCGCCCAACACTCTGAACCATACATCATAGCTGGCCTTATTACAGTCTTGTAGATTTTACCTTTCAGCCTCATTGGAATTCTTTAATCGCATAAGACACCAGACGCTTCTTTCCACTTCAACCACCCGCACTTAATTCTGTGCCTTACATCCTCGTCAACACCACCACTATTTGCACAACTGACCTTAAATACTTAAAACTCTCCACCTCTCCAATCACGTCCTCGCCAATTGTCACTGACCTCCTCATTTCACCTACCTCATGTTCTCCTTTGTCAAACTCGTACTCTATATACTCAGTCTTACTTCTACTTATTCTTAAACCCTTTTCTTCAAGAGCTGATCTTCACACCTCTAGCCTTTGATTAATTTCCTCCCTAATTTCTCCTATTAACACTATATCATCAGCAAACAACATGCATCACGGCACCTATTCTTGTATTTCTCTAGTAATTTCGTCCATCACTATTGAGAATAAGTAAGGGCTTAAATTAGAACCTTGGAGCACTCCTACTCTTACCCGAAAACCTTCTGATATTCTTCCTACGCTTTTTACCCTGGTACAAGTGCCATCATACATATCTTCTATTATATTAATGTACGTTTTCGGGACTCCTTTTCTCATTAATGCCTACTTTAAAACCACTCTCGGTACTCTGTCATACGCTCAATGTAAGAGATCTAATAATAATATTTATAATTTTTGTGGTTTCATTTAGTTACATTTTGATTTCAATTTATTAAATTTGGTGTAGTCCTTTAATCTTATAAGGATATCAATTTAATTTTTCCATATGGTTCATGCCTAATTTTATAGTTTATTTATCATATAATAATTTAATTATTAAAATGACGATTTGGATTTAACTAGGTTTTTTAGCATAATAATATAAATGTATATAATTAGGTGGGAAGATTAAGGGTAAGAAATGACTTATAATAAAAATACCCAATCTAAACCTACAGTATTTACTTTTAATTTTTATAATTGTCAATATCGATAATATATTTATTAATTTATTCTATGTGAATAACCAATAAATAAATGTGTGTATAAATTACAGTCCTCACTATTTAATTGTTAATTGTAATTATTGTCAATTAACTGATACATTAAAAAAACAAACTATATTTACTTATAAAAATGTAATTTTCTAATTTGTGTGATATTTAAGATTATCAAATAATTATATCATACATTTTTAGTGATGAAAAATAAATCAACAATTAGATCATATTATTTTGTTGAAATTATATGTTATTAATTTATTGAATTACTCAATGATATAAAAATTAAGTATGCAAATTGTGATTATTATAAAACATAAGTGTTGAACGAAACTTATTTTATTACAACATTAATTGAGTTACTATTAATATTTGCTTTGGATGCTATATATTTGTTGCTTTAAGTTCCAATTCTAAATTCATAAAAAAGAAATATAAGACATTTATATGATATTTTAATAAATATTTTTTTATATTAAATACCTAGCTCAATTAGCTCTCCCGGTTTTGTTATATACGTTTCTCCGGTGATTGAATCATATTTAAATCCGAGTTGAAAATACTTTTGTATAATTACTGTCTGGATATAATACTCAATTTTATTGGATAGGAATTTTAAAAACACTAAATTAATGCCATGATCAATAATGGTTTTATATTCTAGATTCCATTCATTCCATAAATAATTTGTATCAAATGGTACAAATTCACAATATTGTGCAGTGTCATAATTTATCTCTGCCATTATGATTTTAATAAAATTATCTACAACATTTAATGTCCAAAAGTATGTAAAAATATCATCACGTGAGAGAATTTGTTTGTCTAAATAGTCATGAATAGTTCCAATTTTCTCTAATCGAGAACTTTTCATGTAGGTATATTTTTTATTAAACCATCGGTTAGTAAGTAATAAATCCAAAGCATCCATAGCTCCTTTAAACATTGTTGCCAGTGGAACAATTAATAAAGATATAATGTTTATGAGTTTTTCGGTGCAAAAAAATCCATTAATTAAATCGTTCATTTCATAAAATTTTCTTTTACTATCTTGTATAAGATTGCTAATAACTGTACAAAGATTTTTTATAACTTTTGCGTAAGTGCATCCAAGAAATATAGTAGTGATTTTTATTTTTGGATTACCATCATAGCGATACTTGTTTGTTTTAATCAAATTTTGAAGATTATATTTTCTTCTATAATATTTTATGCAGATTAAATCATTTAATTTTGTCCAACCCGGATACATTAGTAAGTTATCTATCTGCTGTATTTTTTTTTTTGAACTCTGGTTTCCTTTTGCATACAAAATCACAGAAAATATAAAACTTAACTTTATAAGTTTTAATGAAAGCATTCTAAAATAATTGCTAATAACTACTATGACTGAAAATTTTCGATCAAAATATTATTTGGCAAAATGTCAAATAACATGTATTTAATCTGTTCTATGTTTATAAATATCAAAATATACATTAACAAAACATCTGTCACATTATAACAGAGCTTTTTAATTTTTTTTATTTTAGTTTTAAGCTGCTGAATATTTACCGAAAATTTTTTAAAACAAATTAATATCACACAGTATATTATCACTTTTATACCTGATTTTTCATTTTGAGATAAAATTACTCAAAATGTATATTTTAATAATGGAAGATCCTAAAATAAGCTAAATATTAATTTAAAAATAAAACATCTATTTTTCAATTTAGGTATTTTAAACTTTGTATTAGTTACTTCAGTTTTTTTGTTTACAATATTTAATATATTTTGGTGATTTAATATCTGTTCATGTTTTTCTGGTATATTTGTATGGTTTGTATGGTAATACAAAATGTAGCGTAGTAATCACTATATGTTCTTACTAATAATAAAGTACTATCAAGGATCCAATTATTTTTATTTTTATTTATACTTCTCCCAGAGTCTTGGCAGAGTATGGATGTGTTACTGTTTTTATTATTTATTATATCAATAAAAAATTGTATGAAAATAAAAAAAATACTAAAATTTTGTTTATTATGTCACATTTAGCTAACACAACTAAACACAACCGCTATAAATGTGAAAAAAAAACTTAATAAATAAAAAAATTGTAATAACAATATTGATTATATTTAAAGTCTTTAAACATAATTCACTTAAACAAAGAAAAAAAAAGTACAGACTTATGTACTTTTTGTGGTAGAAAACTATGGTAATATATGATTTTTAAAATGTTAACTATTTAATAAAAAACATCATTAAGAATAGCAGAATTTTTATATAAAATAAATATAAATAAATAAGTATTCCACACAAGTAATTTTAAAAATATCCATTTAAACTTTTTCTTTAGTGAATAGTGTTTACATTTTTATTTCTAATTAAAATCCATACATAGTCATCCATTTTCCTTGGTGTTTTTCTATTGAAGCGATATCCTGATAGATATTATGTAAAATTGCATTATTTTAATATTGAATTGATATATTATATTTATATTATTCATATTACTATAAAATTTATTATCAAACATTACTTATTATGTGTCTTATTTTGAATAAAATAAGAAAAATATTTCACTTATAATGATGCACTTTTAATGATCAGCGTATTTATAATACACATTTGTTTTAAATATTTTATAGTATTTTATTAAAAAAATTGTACAGTAATGATTCATAATTATGGAACTTCATTTAGAATAACTAGTTTTAATTATTTTAAAATCATTCTAAGGAGTATGAACTGAAAATATATTTGATATCAGTTTATTTCAGTTGGGAGAAACATAAAGTATTACTCCTAGTATTAAATTTATGTATTTACCAAAAATGATACATTTGATTTTATAAAATAGTTATTTTTAAATACATAACTAATGGCAAGAATGAAAATCAATAAAAATTATTTAAAAGAAACTAAAGAACTATTGATTACTCACCTAAATTAAAATTTACTGTCTAGCTCAACTTTAAATAATTAAAACTTCTTCTACTTTCAAAAGTTTGTATGAAAGATAGTAATTTTAATACTATGATAAGTATTTAATAAAATATTAATTATTAATACATTATATNGGTTTAATCTTTTCAATTCATCTCTCGGTTGGATAGTAATTTTAATACTATGATAAGTATTTAATAAAATATTAATTATTAATACATTATATGTATGAACCAAGTAAGTAGTAGATTGCTTACTCGGTTATTACGGTTTTTTTTACATTTAGGTTAGATACTTAGTATACAACTCCAAGGACTGACCAACCTATTAGTGTGTAATAAAATGAAAATAATCACTGGTGATGGCAGGGGTCGCCTGCGCAAAACTAGTGATATATATATAATACTTAATATGTGTGATATGTGTTATAAATGTAAGTGTTTAATCTTTAAAACTAAATAACAGATAAATAACTCAAGTTTCCAATAATAATTAATAAATATAAACTTTGAAATAAATAACAAAATAAATTCTTTAACAATCAAAAAATCAATAATAAAAAATAAATGATTGTTTTCAAAAAAATAATCATTCATTTCAAATCGAAATTATAAAACAACTTGATTCTATTTTAACAATGATTGTAAATCGTCATTTTCAAATTATTTTTTTCGGTGTTAATAAAATAAGTCATGTAATATGTTATGTCATCTAAATTTTTATCCTAAATATTTAAATAGATGATATAATTTATCCATTGATTTTCTTAAATTTGCTTTTATTTCTATACAGGGTCATCAGAATTTAGTGAACCAGCAGATTTTAGATGAAATAAAAATTATTTTGATAATTTCTTTTAGTGAATAAATATTTAATACATGATTTCTATAAGCTTATTTGAAAACTGTTTAATTAAACTATACACCAGCTGTTGACCTAACGCAACCTTATTATAGCTGAGGGAACTAAAATATTGTCATGATATGTGTCACTGTTAAAGTTTCCAGGTGGATAACCCCATTCGGGAAACAACAGCGCACTTGAATATCAGCCCTAATACGGCGATTAAATAATCTACTGCGCCACACCACTGCCCACATAATTGTTCAAATTAAAGACGGTAAAAAAAATTATTGATCCAAAATTAAAATTTCAGACACAAATTCAACAGAAAAGTAAGTATGGCATTTTATAACATATTGATATGCTTTTATATTGTTTAACGTTAGAATTTTGGTTGTAACTAAAAGTTTCATCGATGAAAGTTGCAATTTTGATCGATGTTTTAAATCAATGAAATAACAATGTGTGTCTATATAAACCAGAAATTAGAGTCGAACCAAAAAAAACTGTAACCCTTAAAAAATGAACAAACCCAAACCGCTACCGGGAAACACATCAACGAAACCCTTAAAAATCAAAACATAATAAAAATAAGGGTTACAGTTTTGGTTCCAATATTTTAGTTGCTGAATTTCAAAATTATAAATTGTAGTATAAATATGTGATTTTTAAAGTTATTTAAAATAAATCTTGTGGCGACAAATGTTGTTTATAATTCTAACACTTGTTTTGATAAAATTATCACTGAAACCAACATTTCCAAAAATCATTGATATTGTGTATCAGTTTGTTTTGGCATTTGTAAGGGTAATTTTTAATCGGTCACTTGTGTAGTTGATTTAATAATAATGGATTATATACACTATATCAACAATTTTAGTTATTTTTACTTAGAAATTTAAATAACCACATATTCTAGTCATTGTTTATATTTTGTGATAAAGAGTTGCTTTGTTAAGAAGCTGTGATACATGAAAAATTACAAATGTTATGCCAATTTTAGTAACCTGCTGGTATTAAGCATTATTCTGTATTAGATAAATTAGCTTAGTCACACGGATGACTCATATTCAGAGTTATATCATATACATTTATAAATTTTGTTTGCGCCATTTTGAAGTATCTCAAGTTTGCGCAACTTAAGATTATATAATAACAAAAAAATATTTATCATTTTAGGGGAGATTTATCACAAAACCATAACATTGGAAAAAACACATTACTAAGTTTTTAATTCTATAAAAATTTGTACTAGCTGATTGTTTTTTCGGATTAACTTAATAAAATATATAAATGCATACAGTTCAAAGCCATACTCATATTATTTTATAGTAAAAACACTTTTTCAAAAAAATGAAAAATTTAAGACAATTTGACTATAATCATAATATATTATGAATAAATTTAACTATAATTTCTGATATATAAATATATTTTTATAAGCCATATAATATCCTATATTAGTGATTGTTATATTTTAAATAATAGACAATACTCTAAATATATACCTGAAATTATTTCAACTCTGTTAAAATATTTTTAGAACGTATATTCAGTTGATATGACTCCTATATCGTTGTGAATCCCTTATTGTTGCGCTCAGAAGCAGCTGCATCACGTTGTCCTTTATGTATAAAAACTGCTGTTGAATTGGCAAAAGCGCTATTTTACCTATAACTAAATTACTTAAACACTTAATACTTATCATACATAAAGTAATACTATTTTATTTGACCGTAAGAAATTTAACTATAGTTATAAAACAGTAGATATTTCTGGTTATGACAAATACACTGCAAACGTTCAAACTTAACCCCAGTTGCAAGCTTTGTAAGATATGCGAACTAATAATTCCCAATGGGTGTGTAAATATAAAAAACCACTCTTGCGTGTGTGACATAACGGCTCTTGACCCATTTATAGTATATATTAATGTTATCATGCGTACGGCGAGTAATGGGCTAGTTAAGTGGTTTGGCAAGAGGGATTGCACTGATATCGTCTAAACTCTTCATTTATACTCAGCAGTTCTCTCTCCAAATCATTTATAGTTGCTACAATAACACCATTGCCCTATCAATACATTACCAGTGATTGTACACGCATTTAGAAATATAAACCGTTTTACTTCCTGTGAACGATACGTGTATGCCTATGCGGTACGTATGACCAGATATTGGCTGTTATCCACCTGAAGCAAATATTTGTGCCAAATAATCGGTGGTTTCTGAAATTCTCTTTTCCTTGGTTAATAAGTGATTAATGGTTTGGAACGGCAGAAAAAAAAACTTATAAGTGTTATAAGAATTTCATATACAAAATTGCTTTGAACAGCACACATCCTTCATTTAAAATGTCCCAACTTAAACCAAAATTATAAGCTTTGTATGGTTTAGCGTGCAAGTCTTACTAACAATAACAGTATATAAAATAAATTCGTTAAAATTACTACTTTTTTGTATTAACTTCGAAATAAATCCCTTGAATAAAAATCATAGGAATTAATCATTTCTATTTAATTCTTGATATTTCAACAGATGTCGAACCAATGTAGTTTGAGCGCTTTAAAAAAT